GGGAAAATGCCTCTTAATCTCTGATCTCTATCTCTGGCATCTAGTTTTTGGCCCTCCGAGGCATCCCCGAGGACGACAATGTTGTTACAGAATGTTCCTTTGTTCCCTCTCCTTGGAATGTTTGCCTTCCTTCCAGGCTTTGTTTCTGATTGGTTGAGGGTATTCTTGAGTGTTCTGAATGCCATCACGTATTGACTTCTCAATTCTTACCCATCTTTCTGCATCATCAGATTTTAATTCTAATAGTTTCACTAGTTGGCATGGAATATTGAAATTGCGAGAAAGTTGTTAATCACAATTTCAGTCATTCTAAAATTAAATTTACATCCATGCTGATGTTGAGTGTCATAAAACTATCTGCCACTATGTTCTAAGAAGGGGTCGGAAGATTTCACCTGCCTGGTAAAAGGATCATGGAATAAAAAAGGTTTAGCTTTCTTAGTCTAATGAAATTAAATCTAATTTTGTTTCCTTTTATGGTTTATCCCCCCCCCCCCCCCCGCTTACCCATAAGCTTCTGACATTTTAGATTGCTTGATTGGCATATTAAGCTATAAACACCAGAGAAATTCACTTAATGGGGAAAATGCCTCTTAATCTCTGATCTCTATCTCTGGCATCTAGTTTTTGGCCCTCCGAGGCATCCCCGAGGACGACAATGTTGTTACAGAATGTTCCTTTGTTCCCTCTCCTTGGAATGTTTGCCTTCCTTCCAGGCTTTGTTTCTGATTGGTTGAGGGTATTCTTGAGTGTTCTGAATGCCATGTAGGTAGGAACCAATTTGGCTCTTGGCTCTTTACTCCCTTTGTTATCTTTCATCCTTTCTCTTTTAAAAAAAACTAAGCCCTCCCATATTGTTGTTCATTCGTTCAGTCGTTTCCGACTTCGTGACCTCATGGACCAATCTACACCAGAGCTCCCTATCGGCCGTCACCTTCTCCAGCTCCTTCAAGGTCAATCCAATCACTTCAAGGATGCCATCCATCCATCTTGCCCTTGGTCGGCCCCTCTTCTTTTTTCCTTCAATTTCCCCCATTTTCCCATGTATAGCTTCTTACAAAGTTATCATTCTCTGAAGCTTGGCTTCAATTCTTTCTGTCATCTGGATCATGACAGTGTGATAGTGTACTAGTGTCTACCAGGGTAGGGTTCTCTCCATCATGTAAACTACCCAATAGTGTGCCTTGCCAATAGATACTTATTCTGTTGCTCTCAATGGTTGATATAAACATAGGTAAAGGTTTTCCCCTGACATGAAGTCCAGTTGTGTCCAACTCTGGGGTGTGGTGCTCACCTCCATTTCTAAGAAGAAGAATCAGCGTTGTCCGTAGACACCTCCAAGGTCATGTGGCCAGCATGACTGCACGAAGCGCCATTAACTTCCCACCGGAGTGGGATATAAATATAATATAAAAATGATATAAATATAAATATGATATAAACATAGCCCAATCAAAAGTCTTTGGCCAAATATTTTCCTGGCTATTTTTTTTTTCAGATTGAAGGTCATTCCTGTACCTTTAAAGCAGTGGATCTCAACCTTGCAAATGCCGCGACCCCTTAATACAGTTCCTCATGTTGTGGTGACCCCCAACCATAAAATTATTTTTGTTGCTACTTTATAACTGTCATTTTGCTACTGTTATGAATCGTAATGTAAATATCTGATAGGCAGGATCTATTTTCATTCACTGGACCAAATTTGGCACAAATACCCCATATGCCCAAATTTGAATACTGGTGGGGAGGGGGTTGATTTTGTCATTTGGGAATTGTAGTTACTGGGATTTACAATCAAAGAGTATTCTGAACTCCACAAATGATGGAATTGAACCAAACTTTACACACAGAACTCCCATAAACAACAGAAAATACTGGATGAGTTTGGTGGGCATTGATCTTGAGTTTTGGAGTCATAGTTCACCTACATCCAGAGAGCACTGTGGACTCAAACAATGATGGATCTGGACCAAATGTGGCACAAATACTCAATATGCCCAAATGTGAACACTGGTGGAGTTTGAAGAAAATAGACCTTGACATTTGGGAGTTGTAGTTGCTGGTATTTATAGTTCACCTACAATCAAAGAGAATTCCGAACCCCACCAATGATAGAATTGGGCCAAACTTCCCACACCAGGGGCTCCTACTGCCATAGTAATTGTTCCTGATCTGTTGTGTTAACATTTTAGTTTTCTTATACTAATTAATAATATATAATGACATGTTAGTTGCATCAATTTTCACAGGAAAATGAGGTAGTATATATTGGAAAAAAACACACACACTCTTTGCCTCCATCCTTTCACAAACATACACCCAGAAAAGGATTCCCTGAAAGGCAGAAGTGCTATTTCCTATGTAAAGAAGGGAAGCAAACAAGAGTAGTGCTTTCCAAAGAGGTGGCCATGTTATTCTGTTGCAAGGAAACTACTAAGACTCCTTTAAGATATGTCTCTTTGACTCTATTTTAAGAGACAAATGAAGGCCCTTCCAGACAGGCCCTAGATCCCAGGACCTGATCCCAGGTTTTCTGCTTTAAGATGGATTATATGAGTCCACATGGCAAGATAATCTGGGAAAAACAGAAAACCTGGGATCAGATCGTGTGATATAGGGCCTTTCTGGAAGGGCCCTGAGATTTCAATTAAATAATGTTTAAGAATCAGTTAAAATAGTCTACACCAGGAGTGGAAAACCTTAGCTAGATGCTTTTGTACTGCTGCTCCCATCAAACATGGCCAGTATATTGATGGTAATATTGCCTGAATGAGTCAAAATAGACCAATTGATAGATTTGGAGATATTTATTATTTATTATACCCCCTCCCCCTCAAAATGGAGCTTTACAATTAAAACAGAAAAAGTAACATTAAAATAAAATAGAAATAGAAGAACCCTGTTTTGATAGAGCACTGTCATATACTAGGTCAGACTACCTGTCCATTTTTGTTGCCTTCAGGTCATTTCTGAATTACAGTGACTTATCTATTCACTGAATTACATTTCTGAATTACAGTGACTTATCTATCTATTCATATCTAATTTATCATGGGATTTTCTTGGAACGATTTGTTCAGAGGAGTTGCCTTTGCCTTATTCCGAGGCTGAAAGAGTTATGCAGTGGATTTCCATGACTGGCCACCTCCATGCTCTTGCTTCTGAATAGCAGCAGTTCTCTGCTGGACCTACATTGCCGTATAATCCAGTTTCTGTTCCCAGATTAGCTGGTTGAACTGGATTATATGGCAGTGTAGACTCATATAATCCAGTTCAAAGTAGATAATCTGATACTAAGTTATATGGCAGTGTAGACCCAGCAAGAAAGAGGTGACAGGCAAAATTGGCCAGCCACGTCATCCCTTTCAGTGGGATGTCTTGAATAGAAACCTGGGTCTGTGGGAAATGAAAGGAGATATTTAAATTCATTTTACTAATTGTGTTACTGACCAACGTAGTGGAAATATGCGTTCTGTGGAGGCCGATAGATGTGGAGGAACTACTACATTCAAATGGAGCAAATATCCTAACCCTTGGATTTTCCTTCCATCCTTCCTCACCAACCTTTCTTTCCTTTCCATTGCCCCAGGTCTCACACAGTACATGCCAAGATGAAGTCTACTATCACAGAGATCCTGCTTCTCCTGTTGGCTGGTAAGGCTCTTGATCACCTTTACTTTTGGTCTCAGGGCCTTTTCTTGAAACCGTTTTCCAGAGTGTTACCAGTAAAATTCAACTTGTATGCAGAACACATCATGTGATGTGCGGGGCTTGAGGAATGCAAGGCTGGGGTAAAAATTGCTGGAAGAAACATTAACAACCGTAGATATGTAGATGATACCACTTTGATGGCCGGCGAGGAGGAGCTGAGGAGCCTTCTAATCAAGGTGAAAGAAGAAAGCGCAAAAGCTGGGTTGCAGTTAAACATAAAAAAAACCCCAAAATAATGGCAACAAGAATAACTGAAAACTGGGAAATAGAAGGAGAAAACGTGGAGGCAATGACAGACTTTGTATTTCTGGGTGCAAAGATTACGGCAGATGCTGACTGCAGCCAGGAAATCAGGAGACACTTACTTCTTGGGAGGAGAGCAATGACCAATCTTGACAAAATAGTGAAGAGTAGAGACATCACACTGGCAACGAAGATCCACACAGTCAAAGCAATGGTATTCCCCATAGTCACTACGGATGTGAGAGCTGGACCTTAGGGAAGGCTGAGTGAAGGAAGATAGATGCTTTTGAACTGTGGTGTTGGAGGAAAGTTCTGAGAGTGCCTTGGACTGCGAGAAGATCCAACCAGTCCATACTTCAGGAAATAAAGCCCAACTGCTCACTGGAGGGAAGAATAGTAGAGCCACATCATGAGAAGAAAGGAAAGCATAGAGAAGACAATGATGTTGGGGGAAAATTGAAGGAAAAAGGAAGAGGGGCCAACCAAGGGCAAGATGGATGGATGGCATCCTTGAAGTGACTGGATTGACCTTGAAGGAGCTGGGGGTGGTGATGGCTGAAGGGAGCTCTGACGTGGGCTGGTCCATGAGGTCACGAAGAGTCGGAAACGACTGAACGAATGAACAACAACAACAACAACCAGTAAAAACTACTGGGAAATTTGTGATATCTTAAAGTCCAGAGTTCGTGGCCTCTGGAATTTCAAAGGCCCCTCCTACACTGTCATATAATTCAGATTATCAAAGCAGATACTCCACATTATTTGCTTTGAACTGGATTATATAAATCTACACTGCCATTTAATCCAGTTCAAAGAAATCATTCAGATTTTATATGGCAATGTAGAAGGACCAGAGCTTCAAATGTTACTTCAGATACAGCTCCCAGAGCACCTGCCTCCACAGAGCCATGATAATATTGTCTGGAGAATTCTGAGTTTTGTTTTCAAAAGTAACATTTTCAAACTTGACCTGTTGTCCACATCTGAGTTTATATGTGACAAGTAGTTGAGTTGTATTCTGGTTCCTCTTCCTAACCTTGAAAGCAGGAGTCGCCAATAATCAGGGCTTTGGAGCTGCCCACAAATCAGGTCAAGAGTAAGCAATTCATGCCATATTGGTTTTTAATACTGAACTTGAGCCTTGTTTTTTTGTTTCAGCAGCTCATTTATGAGAGACTTTTAGTTTTAGTTGACAGTAACCTTTGCTATATCATATGGCAACCAGAGAGCTAACTGTAAATCCCAGCTTATTTTTTACCATCTCATTATATTCCTGCTCTAAAAATATTAATTGTTTAGTATCTGTAAGTATGCTATCAACTGAAAGATAACTTTTTGTGTTCTTTTGTAGCTCTTCCTCTTCTGGAAGCAAATGATCCTACAGGTGAGTAGCTTGTTGCACCCTATGCCAGATTTTGTATGTGGCAAATTACTGCCTTAACAACATAGCGCATCTTATCATTATGTTTAAAATCAGATTGGTCAGTGAGGCCCCTACACATTTCTTTGTCTTTCTGTCCTCGCTGCCTTCTGAAATATAAGGAATATTTGGTTCCTCTTTATGTTTTGAACATAAAATTCCAGAACTTCTATCCAGATTAGTCTATATCAGTGGTTCCCAACCTTTTCTTGACCAAGGACCACTTTGACCAGGGACCACTCTCCAACATTCATAGAATTATAGAGCTGGAAGAGACCTTGTGGGCCATCCAGTCCAACCCCCTGTCAAGAAGCAGGATAATCGCATTCAAAGTACTCCCAACAGATGGCCATCCAGCCTCTGTTTAAAAGCCTCCAGAGAAGCAGTCTCCACTACACTCCGGAGCACAGAGTTCCACTGCTGAACAGCTCTCACAGTCAGGAAATTCTTCCTAATGTACATTAGTACCAAAAGGGTTATGAATCAGTTTTTGGTCAACTTTCGATTCAGTTTGGTTATTTGGGGTGCTGATTCAGAAACTTGCATTGGATCGACCACATCAGCTCTAGTTTCTGACACTGAACATATACCATCCAGCAGTTGTCATCTGATTGCCCATAGAAAACCATATTTAATAATCTAGATCTGATGGAGTCTAGTCAATGCAATTTTCTAAATCAGCACCCCAAATAACCCCAGGAACAGGCCTAAAAACAAAGACAGCAAGGTGCCCCCGCTTCCAGGTGTCACATGGAACAACTTCACTCAGGGGGAGGGAGGAAGCGGAGAAGCAGCAGTCAGAACGCTTGTTGTCGTACCTTTTGTGGGTAGTCAGCCTCTCCCTTCTCAACATCCCCCTTGCCTTGGCACTATAAAAGGATTTTGTGAGACCAGTCACTCTTGTTGCAACAATGTAGTAACGTGAGGTCGCGGACCATATTTTAGTTCTTGGTGGTCCATGGGTCACAGGTTGGGAACCACTGGTCTATATAGTAAGGGACTGTAGGAATTATGGTCCAAAACACTTGGATAGCCACAGGCTCTCTACGTCTGTTATAGACAGTGTGTTTCTGAAGAAGGTATTTTTCTGGTGAGGTGAGCAGATAAAACATTTCTGAAAAGTAAAATATTATTTAAAATGTGCCAAGGTTTACTAGCAACTGTAAAACTACCATTATCCAATCTTTCTTTGAGGAGGTCAGCTGTAAAAGGACAGCAAAGAACCTCATATAGTTTGAAGTTTAGTTTGTAGAAGAGCTTGTTAAAGCCGACTTTATGCTTTTACAGATTCTATTTCATTGCTTCCTGCTCTATTTCATCATTTTGTATTATCCACCTAGAACAGGTATAGGCAAACTTTGGCCTTCCAGGTGTTTTGGATCACAACTCCCACAATTTCTAACAGCCGGTACGCTGTTAGGAATTATGAGAGTTGAAGTCCAAAACACCTGGAGGGGTGAAGTTTGCTCATGCCTGACCTAGAAGCACTTGGGTTCTGGTTGTTTCTTCAAGTTGATTTTGGCTTGTGGAAACTCCATCATATAGTTTTCTGTGCACAATTTATTCAGAACATGCTTAACATTGTCTTTGTCTAAGGATGAGAAAGTGTGACTTTCCCACAGTCACCCAGTGGCTTTTTTTTTGAGCTGAGTGGATATTTTAACCCTAGTACTAATCTAGCATGCAAATCACACAGCCTTCCTCTTTAGGATTACTACCAACAAATAATAAATCTTTTTATCCCATCTTTTGAATATCATTTTTTTTAAAAAAAATGCATTGAGAAAGGTCTTTGAATAGTGCATGTAGTATATGTAGAAGGGTCTTTGAATAGGGCATGTAGTGCCGGGCTTTAGCACAGCAGGTTAACCGCCAGCTGCAGTAAATCTTGCCAGCTGAAAGGTTGACAGTTCAAAGCTCAGGTCAAGGCGAGCTCCTGGCCTTTAGCCCAGCTTCTGCCTACCTAGCAGTTTCGAAAACAGCATTGTTAGTAGATAAATAGGAACCACTTGGTGGAGAGGTATTTAAGGCACCCATTAGGAAATTCCAGAAAAATTCCAGCAATTCAATCAAGGAGGAAGTTTATGAACAAAGCTCTTCAACATGGAAAGTAGAGCAACAGCACCCCCTATAGCCAGAACCGAGCACAGCCTCCAAGGTGCCGAAGATGGGAAAACCTATATATACCTCTATCTATGTACAGTTGTTTGTCTTGTCAGTGTATAACGGTATTGAATGTTTGCCATATATGTATTCTGTGATCCGCTCTGTGAGTTCCCTTTGGAGTGAGAAGGGCAGAATATAAATACTGTAAATAAATAAATAAATAAATAAATGCTTAATTTAATTTTGTTTTTGTATTTTAAACTTGTAGTAAATCTTTTAAAATAGAATTACGGAGTTAGTAATTTTCACCATTGTATTATGAGGTGTTTATTTAAAAAAACATATTTTGTTTTAATCTATGCTGTGAGTTGATTTGTGTCAAGTATAAAAAGAAAGAAAAAATATTAAATGAATAAAATAATAATAATAAATACTTCCTTTCTCTCTCCAGATAAAAACAGTCCATTCTACTATGGTAAGTGCAAGTCATATTCAGTAGAGCAATGTAACCACCCGAAGGTTTATGTTTTTTTTGTTGTTATGTGCAGTAAAGTCCTATGTATGGCAGCCCTTTTTGAGTGCTTTGTCAGCAAGATTTAATTGGTGGTTTGTCATTGTTTTCCTCTAAGGCTGAGAGTGTGTGACCAACTCATGATCACCCAATGGGTTTCTCCTGGAGTCCTCCTCCTAGAATCCTCCTCCAGTCTCAGAGAGTTCCTCTCAGCACTCAAACCACTCTGCTACCCCAGTTTGATGTACATAAATAGATGTGATAAACATGTGTTTGCAATAAGAGGATGAGATCTTTGTATTGTCAAAGGCTTCCATGTCCAGAATCACTGGGTTGTTGTAAGTTTTTTGAGTTGTATGGCCATGTTTCAGAAGCATTCTCTCTTGAGGTTTCACCTGCATCTATGACAGGCATCCTCAGAGGTTGTGAGTCCTCAAAACCTCTAAGGATGCCTGCCATAGATTCAGGTGAAACGTCAGGAGAGAATGCTTCTGGAACATGGCTATACAGCCCGAAAAACTTACAACAACCCGATGTGAGCTTTCTTTGCCTGAGCAGAAGAGCCCAACTGTTCAGTGGAACAGATCTCACTCCCGCTTATTTAATTGTATTCTGTGTCTCTTCCCTGAAACCACTGCTTATAGTGGAGGGGGTTTTATTTTCTGACTTCCTTTCCACTGAATAAATCCCTTAAGACAAGTCTCTTGACAACTCTATGAGCAAAAAATCTGTAGACAAGGAGACAGCTTTTCTCACTGCCTCCCACCCGTGGCATAAGTGGATTTGGAGTGGGTGAGAGAGAGCTTGCTGGATTGATGACAGGTTTTGTAGTGAAGGGACTGAGTAGCCTAAATGAGACAATCGTCTTCTTTTTTTCTTCTCTAGACTGGCATTCGCTTCGGGTTGGTGGTATGATTTTTGCTGGCGTCCTCTGTTTTCTGGGGATTGCTGTCTTACTGAGTAAGTATTTATTTATCATGCCAGAAGCAAATTGAGGGTACAGTTGTAATGTATTTAAAAACACAAACAAAATTAAAAACTTGGCATTATACTAAATGTCCTTTGATCAGTAACTGGTCACTTGGGGTGCCTCTGGTGTTGCTATAAGAAGGTCCTCCATTGTGCATGTGGCAGGACTCAGGTTGCATTGTAGTAGGTGGTCTGTGGTTTGCTTTTCTCCACACTCGCATGTCATGGACTCCCCTTTGTAGTCCCATTCTTAAGATTGGTTCTGATCTCATGGTGCCAGAGTGCAGTCATTTCAGTGCCTTCTAGGTCACCCAGTCTTTTGTGTGCTCAAGAGAGAGTAAGTAACTCTTGAGGAAAATAAGCAATTTATGAAGAGCAGGGAAATTCTTGCCAATGGCAGATACAGTGTGGCCTATCTCTCACTGGCTGCCGATTTGCTACCAGGCCCAATTCAAGGTGTTGGTACTGGCCTATAAAGCCCTAAACGGTTCCGGCCCAAGATACCTAGCTGACCGCATCTCGGCCTATGAACCCACCCGGACTTTGAGATCTTCCGGGGAGGCCCTGCTCTCGATCCCGCCAGCCTCTCAAGCACGGTTGGCGGGGACGAGGGATAGGGCCTTCTCGGTGGTGGCTCCTCGGCTGTGGAACGCCCTTCCTGCAGATGTTAGGCTGGCACCATCTCTCATGACATTCCGTAGAAAGTTAAAGACCTGGATGTTTGTGCAGGCATTTGAGTAATTCAGTGCAATTCTGGTAATTTGAACATAGGAACGGAACAATGGACGTCGAATTCGGATCACGCTTGGATGATGAGGCGATCGGGGGGGGGGGCTTTGGGAGAACTGTGTATTGATGTTTGTAGTAGCTAGTAATGGAGATGTGTAATTTAACTGTTATGGTATATTGATTGTTGCTGTTTTTTATTGTCTCGTTGTTTGCTGTCTGGAAACCGCTGTGAGTCGCCTTCGGGCTTGAGATACAGCGGTATACAAGAATAGTAAATAAATAAATAAAATAAATAAATAAGATGGGGTAGGGTTGCATGACTAAAAATCCCTTCACACAGCATAACTTTACAAAGTTATAGAATAATAGAATCATAGAGTTGGAAGAGTCTGCATGGGCCATCTAGTCCAACCCCCCTGCCATGCAGGAAAAGCACAAAGTACCCCTGACAGGTGGTCATCCAGCCTCTATTTAGTAGCCCCCGAAGAAGGAGCTTCCACAACAATTTGAGGCAGTGAGTTCTACTGTTGAACAGCTCAGGAAGTTCTTCCTAAGGTTCAAGTGGAGTCTCTTTTCCTGTTTTTTTAACCCATTGTTCTGAGTCCTAGTTTTCAGGGCTGCAGAAATGTAGCCTGTCCCCCCTTTGTTATGACAGCCTTTCTAATATTTAAACATGGTGATCATGTCTCCTCTCAGTATTCTCTTCTGTAGGCTAAACATGCCCAGCTCTTTAAGCCACTCCTGATAGAGCATGGTCTCCAGATCTTGATCATTTTAGACACCCTTCTTTAGACACACAGTACCAACTCATCTGCTGTTGGGCAATTTAGGGAAAACTACCCCAAAATATAGCAGAGCATCCAAAAATCAAACAGGATACAAAAAGTTGAGCATTCAGCTCATTAGCGAGCGAAGTGTGAAGTGCCATGTGATGTAGCTGTAAAGAATTAAAAGCTTAGGCAGGCAAAGATGCAGAATCCTATCTTTAAAAAATCACAAATGGTTTATTTACAATAATAAAGAACTAACTACATTTCTTCATGGTAAAGAACTGGGTCTGAGCTACTCTAACACCCATCTTATCTAAGGTTTCAAAGAGAGGGGAAAACACCAAATCACTACCTAACACACAAGCAGAGAGAGATCTCAAAGTACACAGCACATGCTAAGGTATAAGAAACAGAAGTACGATTTTAAAAGGCTTGCAGTATCCATTTTACATAACCAATCGGAATGAGAGCAGAAATAATAGTAGTAGTAGTAGTAGTAGTAGTAATAATAATAATAATAATAATAATTACTTCAAATATAATAATAATAATAATAATAATAATACTTTATTTATACCCCGCCACCATCTCCCCAAGGGGACTCGGGGCGGCTTACATGAGGCCAAGCCCAACAACACATCAGTAAAACAACAAGACAGCAAGCAAATAAAACAGTACAATTAATATAACTCACATATAAACAATAACACACAAAAATTTAAAACCTTATGGCCAGGCCAGATGTAATAGATTAAAATTTTAAAATAAACACTGGGCATGAACAGAGGTAGGATGTATCTAAGCAGGAGGGTTTTAAAGGATAATGTAGGGAGAGCAACCCAACAGGTAGTTAAAGTGCTTCTGAGGACATTTTGCAGGAAATTGGTCAGAGCAGGGTATTGTTTCCGTTATTCAGGGAAGGCAAACTGGAACAGCCACCTTTTCAGGCTCCTCCTAAAGACTGCCAATGTGGGGACTTGTCTGATATCCTTGGGGAGTGAGTTCCAGAGTCGAGGGGCCACCATGGAGAAGGCCCTCTCCTTTGTCCCCACTAATCGCACCTGCGAAGGGGGCGGGAGCGAGAGCAGGGCCTCTCCAGATGATCAAAGAGATCGCGTGGGTTCATAAACAGAAATGCGGTCACGCAGGTAGGTGGGAACCTGCACCTTGAATTGGGACCGGAAAATGAATGGTAGCCAATGGAGCTCAAACTCCCTGTAGGTCGCTTCAGTTATATCCCACCACCATCTCTCTGAAGGGACTCTCGGGGTGGCTTACAGGTGCACAAAGTGCCTAAAAACAAATATAAAAGTGAACACAATATAAAATACAATAAATAACATAAAATAGAAACAGAGAAGGAGAGAAAAAATAGGTATATTCCCAACTGTCATTCAGGAGACATGGAGCAAGGGAAACCCTTAATCTATACTAAACTAACTAAACCTTTCCTCATTGAGGACTTTATTCTTGGGCAATGTGGGGCTGAATCCCAACAATCCCCTTCTTCAGCCACAACTGCATAAGTCTATAAGATTCATCATCTTTTTTTGAGTACAGGAACAAATTCTGAGGCTCCATCTCAATGCAAAGACTGTCATTCCTGTAATGCTGCACTCTTCCATTTCTCTCCTTCACTCACTGGCAAACTCTTCACCACATTCCAGGATTTTTTTTCCATGTCAGGAGTGACTTGAGAAACTGCAAGTTGCTTCTGGTGTGGGTGAATTGGCCATCTGCAATGATGTTGCCCAGGGGATGCCCAGATGTTGATGTTTTGCCATCCTTGTGGGAGGTTTCTCAATGATGGTTTCAGAATGTCGGCTGTCTTAGCCACATAAGCTAAACAAACTGGGAGAATTGCCTTCTTACTTCTCTCTGACCTTCAAATTGTTGACTTTATTTGACCACTTTTTGCTCTGTATGAGTATTTTTTTCATAATCAATACAGAATTCTCATAACTTTTGTGAATTCCTTCAAATATTATGCTTATTCCTATCTTCCCATATTCTCACCCATAGATCTTAATTCATCAGGGCACACAGTAAATGGAAGCACAATAAAAGGAAGAGAGATCCAGTGGAAGAGAAGCCTAGAATAGAACCCTCCTATCTTACTTTTTAACTCTAGCAGTGGTTCTCAACCTGTGGGTCCCCAGATGTTTGGGCCTTCAACTCCCAGAAATCCTAACAGCTAGTAAACTGGCTGGGATTTCTGGGAGTTGTAGGCCAAAACACCTGGGGACCCACAGGTTGAGAACCACTGCTCTAGTGGAAGTTATCCCTTTTCCACTCAAGCCAGTTTTTGGTACTATATGCAGAAAGACATGGCATGCAATAGGGTTTGACAATCATGAAGTGGCAGCAAGTAATTGAATGTATTTCATCCATCTAGTCTGCACTTAATCCTTGCTTCCCCCAGGTGTCAGAATAAATTGGCTGTCTTAAGGTTTTCTACCCCTTGGTGTAGATCCAGAGTGTGGTATTTGCTGCTCCAACTCATCCCGCAAAATGTCTTGGAGCAGCCCCACTCCCCATTGCAGATGTAGTGGTACTCTGCAGAAAGAAGATTGTGTTCATATTTTAAGACACACTTTCCCCCTCTGTGCTTTGCAGCCTGAGTGGTTCCCATGGTGATTTAGGAAACTGAAATGTCTGCAAAATCACTGTAAAAAAGCAAAAGAGGTTTGCTGCTTCACTGTGAGCTCAGGCTTAGAAGGGACCTTATTGGATATTGTCCATTTAGCTCCTTATTTTATAGCAGAAATGGGAAACACGTGGCCTTCTAAATACTTATTGACTGCAGCATTCATCAGTTCAGCTTAATCTAGCTAATGGTGAAAGATGATGGGAGTTGTAGTACAACTTGATCCTGAGAGCTGTATCTTCTGCTTTCCTGCTTTTCCAGTATGTATAAGTGGAACTGCTATATACTAATGTAGGTGACATTACCTTCTATTTTAGTAGATTCAGCTCTGCAGGATTGGAAGTAGCATTGTGCCGTCGCGCTTGGGGGCTATTAGTCTTAAAAGGAGGATGGACGTGGCATCTTTCCCCCAAGGGATTGCTTCTTGCCCTCCTTTAGGAAACTGGAACTCCCAAGAACCCAAAACGATGTAAATAACTCAAAATAAGTTTTATTTGTCACAAAGTCATTTCTTCAATGCAATAAACTGGAAAACTTTAGCAGGGTGAAGGAAAAACACACTTTACAGTCTCTATTAGTCCTGGGTCCAAGGGGGTTTGAAGCTGAGAAGCCTCACCAGATTTCCTCTTCCTCAATGGCTGAGTATGCCGGAGCAAAACCACAGCCCCAGTTCAAATGGCCTATTTTGAAGATTTAGGATCTTCCTCTGGTGCCAAAAGAACTGGCTTGAAGGCGCCTGGGTCTCCTCAGTATCGTCCAGGATGATCTGGACATAAAGCATGAGTCCCAGGGGAAAAAACCTCAGAATTGTGCTAAGAGGTAACTTAACAGGGTCCTTTAGGAAT